ACTGATAACTATGCACCTGGTAACCTCCCCGCCAGCTTTGCCAGCTTAATCAGGATCTTATAAAAGGAAAGTCAAGAACCATGGGTTTCCAAGGGTAACAAACAACCGCTAAAGATTGACATCTCTTTACTATGAAAATAATCACAATAATTGACACCACTCACACAAATACCAAATAAACAAATGCGGAAGTCAAACGATTACGGGAGTCAAACAAATACGGGAGTCAAACAAATACGGGAGTCAAACAAATACGGGAGTCAAACAAATACGGGAGTCAAACAAATACGGGAGTCAAACAAATACGGGAGTCAAACAAATACGGGAGTCAAACAAATACGGGAGTCAAACAAATACGGGAGTCAAACGAATAGAGTCAAATCAAAGTCACGGGGAATTCAAGTCAAAACAAATACGGAGTCAAACAAATACGGAGTCAAACAAATACGGAGTCAAACAAATAGAGGAGTCAAACAATTACGGGAGTCAAACAAATACGGAAGTCAAACAAATACAGAGTCAAACAAATACAGGAGTCAAACAAATACGGGAGTCAAACAAATACGGGAGTCAAACAAATACGGGAGTCAAACAAATACGGGAGTCAAACAAATACGGGAGTCAAACAAATACGGGAGTCAAACAAATACGGGAGTCAAACAATTACGGGAGTCAAACAATAATGGGAGTCAAACAAAGTACAGATGTTTCCTACGGCTGCAACCCGGTGGAATGTTTTGTTGACGCGGCGGTCCGCTCTCAGGGGGAAGGTCCAGGGCAGCTTCCTCACTTGACGCTGGCGTTGGTGGGCGATATCTTGCCATACAGGAGAGTCGCCAGGGCACGGATGGTGGATAGGGCGTGGAGGAAGTGGCGATGACGTGGCAGCCGCGGTAGTAGCTGGAGCAGGTGTCCGGAGATTGACAGCCAAATACAGTACTCCCTCTTTATCGACAGATTTTTTATCGACGGTTTCGATTATCGACGGATTATTTAGACGGATTTTTATTTTGGCTTTATTTGAACTCTGCGGGCCTTGTTTGTACTTTCGCCGCTAGGCGGCACTAGTGGCGTGACTAGCGTCTACCCGCCATCGCCGAACCTGCCGGCATCCTGCAACAGGAGGCAGAAGCTGCCGACACCTCACAACAACAAGACGTAGAAGCTGCCGGCACCTCACAACAACAAGACGCAGTACCTGCCCACACCCCTCAAGAAGATGCAGACCTTGACTCATCATACTCATCTGACTGGTCAGGCTTTTAATAAGCCTCAATCATCACACTTGTATATACTGTACACTGTATTGTTTACTGTAAGGACCGATGTTCACTTCAATAAATGAAATCGTAAGTTTGCTAGTATTTTTGTCCACTTATTATATTATTATTTATACACTATTATTTAAGGTTATGTGTAAAGGAAACGCATTAATGCTTAAAGGTACATTTATTCAACATATGCTAATAATAGTTAGAAAAATTACGTAACCATCACGGTATCGACGGTTTCTTTATCGACGGCCGTCTACAGAACGTAACCCCCGTCGATAAAGAGGGAGTACTGTAGTGAAGGACTGGGGAATCAGCCCATGAGCCCCAGGAGCCTCAGATGGGCACACAACCAGAATTGTAATTGAACAGCGGGGGAAGTGCAGCTGCGGTGCTGGCTGGGTAGTGTCTGATGTGTGACGAAGCAGCAGCACCCTTCTCACCTCCATCTACCCCCACCCCCCCCTAGTGAGGCCGTGAACAAGCAAACGAGCAGCGGACAACCATCCCGCTCGTTACCGCCCTTACAACTGTGCAGTATAAGGGTAACAACTAGTGATGTCAAGTTTCTTGCCACAGTTAACAATACCATTTATCATTGTGATCCAAATACAGTACAGTACTCTTGTTTTACATCATTAATGATACACAGTAAGAGATGAGTAACAGTGGGGAGCCTCAGTTAACATTCTTTGACCTTCACTTTAGTTTACAATATTTCTACTTATGTCCGAACCAATATACTGTACAGTATTGTGCAAACATGGCAGATTTGAATACCTTTAATGTTTTTCTGCTAGAAGTTGCAGTACAGTGAACCCTCGCTTTACGCGGTTAATTGAACCCACGGAGGCCCGCGTAAAGCGAGAAACGCGTAAAGTGAACAACATAGCATATGGGATTAATTTAGAGACCAGGCCAACCCCCAAACTCCACTTTTTCCCGACACAATACGTACGTTTTAGTAAAAATAACATCTTAACTCTATGATGGTATGCACACACACATAATATAGAAGAAAGCAATCAATAAGAGAATAATATACTGTAGGTTAGGTTAGAAAAAATCAAGGTTAGGTTTAACACGTTAGTAGAAGAGATGGGTCGGCGTACGGGAATGGAGGCTGGTTCCGAGGCAGAGGGCAGGCTACTGGCCCTCAGGTGAGTCATCATCACTGTCATCCACACTTATCAGTGCCTCCCTGACAAACCCCTCAAAGTCACCATCACTGTCTCTGTCACTATCACTGGCTTGGGCTGGCTGTGGTGGGTTGCGGGCAAAGAACCCGGTAATGCTTTGTTGACGGCTAGTGTTGATGTTGTCGTGATACACCTTGATGTAGGGCTCCATAGCCTGCAACAACTGGGTAGTGAAGACTTCATACCGGTTATCGTCAGGGTCGTCGGAAAGGAGGAGCTTCAGTTTCTCTACACACTCGATAGCACCCCTTACATTACTATGCGATAACTTGCGTTCTTCTTGGGATGACGCACCACCTGCCTCTTCATTGATGTCATCATCATCTAACATCTCGTCGGCAGTCACATGAGGATCCCTTATCACCTCCATAATGTCGTCGTTGGTGGTCTCGGAGAAGCCTTTAGCTGTAACACTGCTCAGCTTCTCTGGCAAGGTCCACAGCTACTGCAACAGTCTGAACCTCACCAGTCACACGTTGACTCTGCCTTCCACCTAGAATACCTTGCAACACATCTCTCCATGCGTGACTAACCGTTGCTACAGACAGCTGATCCCATGCCTCCACCATGAAGTCCACAGCTTTCTTGACGTTGAATTTTCTCCAAAAGTGTTTCACAAGTACTTCTTGCTCTGCCAACTGTTGTTCCTCGTCCTCTTCGCTCTTGCTATCGGTGTCACCCAGGTTACGCAACTCATCCTTGGTGTTGGTATAGTCGTTCAGGAGCTTAAACGTCTTTGCAGAGAATGCAGCTTTCACACTGCAGATTAATTCTTGGTCCATGGGCTGTATTAATGACGTAGTGTTGGGAGGAAGGAAGACCACTTTTACGTTGGGGTGACGATCCAACAGTAGGGGCGAGTGTCCTGGTGTGTGTTGTCAATCAGCGACAAAATCTTGAATGGAACATTCTGTTGCTCACAGAATTTCTTCACGTCGGGAACGAAACAGTCATCAAATCAGGAGAGGGACAGAGTAGAGAACATCCACACCTTACGTGCGGTCAGGCAGTGGACATTTAGCTTGGTCATGCCCATGCTCTTGTAGGCGTGCGGCTTGCGTGCTGTGTGGATCACCGATAACTTGAGCTTACAGGTATCGGAGGCATTGGTGGTAAACAGGACGGTGATGCACTCCTTCTGCAACTTCCAGCCCTGACACTTGCTGGCAGTCCTGACAACGAAGGTCTTGGAAGATAGCTTTTTCCAAAAAAGACCAGATTCGTCCATGTTAAACACCTGGTCGTCGGTGTACTGTCCTTCCTCCATAATCTCACGTAAAAACGGAGGAAAATCCCTAGCCGCAACACGGTCAGCACTAGCTTCTTCACCACCAATGTTAATGTGGGTGATATTGTTCCTCTTCTTAAACCTCTGCTACCACCCAGAGGAAGCATTGAAGGGTTTGGGCTCTGCAATTCCCATCTTACGTGACACTGCAGCATACAGTTCACGTGCGTACTCCTTAACTGAGTGCGTGTCCACCGCCATGTTCCGTCTTGCCTGACAAATCAAGTAGCTCACAAGTAATTTCTCCGTCTTGAGAAGCACCTGGTTGTGGCAATACTTGATCATAGAAGCACCTGTAGACTTTGTGATGTTCATGTGCTCCTTTATCTTGGCTGCATCCTTCTTGATCGTCCGGATCGTAGATCGTTAACACCATGCTGGCGCACGAGATCAACCTGTCTTGGTCCTTTCTCCAACTCTTGGATGGTCTTGTATTTAATTTCGTAGCTTAGGGCACGTCGTATCTTCTTTGGCTTAGGGCGGCTGGGTCCAGGTAATGCAAGGTTTCTTTGTGGTGGTGGTAGTGGTTCGGTGGAAGCCATTCTTATGGAACAATAGATACCGATATACACGGTGTAGCCGGGAGGGGTGTAACTGATATGGGTAGGTCAACGGGCTTGAACGCTCCCGCGGCAAGGCACGTCATATTACATTAAACCAATCACAGCTAGCGGGGGAGGGAGCTAAGGATGCTTGGCCCAATCACAGACCTATACGTCATATGACATCACCGATAACGCAACAAAGACATACACTGCGCGCAACCTACTCGCGCCGCTTACCCAACATAGTGGGAAGTTTGAATCCAAAAATGGCGCGGCGCGAGATGACCGCCAGCCGCTCTCCGTGTAAAAGAGTACACGCACCGCGTAAAGTGAGTATCCCCGGCCTGGCAGGATACCGCGTAAACGTGGAAACTCGTAAAAAAAAAGCGCTTAAAGCGGGGTAATACTGTAATTGTTTCTTACCCTCACACAGTTGACCACAATTACAGTATCTTTTTTGTTTTGTAAGCATTCAACACATGGCAAGTGTGGATAATAGCTACAGTAGACACAATTATGAGTGTGTTGAGGTGACCAACAGCACAGGGTAATCAATCAGTGTTCATGGATACATAATAGAAAATATACTGTATTATAGGAGATTAGAATTTTTTCGGAATTGATTGATGAACTTTGGCAATTTACCAGAAAATATTCAGCATTGTTAGAAATTATATCCAAATTAATTTAATTTCAGAACAATGTCACGATCAAAGATGGTAGTTGAGGCTGCAGAGAGGAACAAGGAGCCAATCTTAAAGGTGCTGGAAGATGTGGTCCCTGAGAAGCTTGGTATAGACACTAACTTGTCAGCGCTGGAAATATCCTCAGGCAGTGGCCAACATGTGGTACATTTTGCAAAGACTTTTCCAAGCATAACCTGGCAGCCATCTGATATTGATGACAATTATATTGAGAGCATAAAGGGATATATTGCTGATGAGAAGTTGGAAAATGTGAAGAGCCCACTCAAGATTGACATTACTAAGGTAAAGTATTAATATAGAGCTTGCTTGAGGTTATCACTAAGGTAAAGTATTATTATAGAGCTCGCTTGAGATTATCACAAAGGTAGAGTATTATTATAGAGCTTGCCTGAGGTTATCACAAAGGTAGAGTATTACTATAGAGCTTGCTTGAGGTTATCACAAAGGTAGAGTAAATCTTGCTTAAGGTTATCACGAAGGAAGAGTATTATTATTGAGCTTGCTTGCAGTTATCACTAAGGTAGAGTATTATTATAGAGCTTGCTTGCAGTTATCACTAAGGTAGGGTATTATTATAGAGCTTGCTTGAGGTTATCACTAAGGTAGAGTATTATTATAGAGCTTGCCTGAGGTTATCACTAAGGAAGAGTATTATTATAGAGCTTCCTTGAGGTTATCACTAAGGAAGAGTATTATTATAGAGCTTACCTGAGATTATCACTAAGGAAGAGTATTATTATTGAGCTTGCTTGTGGCTATTACTATGGTAGAGCTTGCTTGAGGTTATCACTATGGTAGAGTATTATTATAGAGCTTGCTTGAGGTTATCACTAATGTAAAGTATTATTATAGAGCTTGCTTGAGGTTATCACTAAGGTAGAGTAAATCTTGCTTAAGGTTATCACGAAGGAAGAGTATTATTATTGAGCTTGCTTGCAGTTATCACTAAGGTAGAGTATTATTATAGAGCTTGCTTGCAGTTATCACAAAGGTAGAGTATTATTATAGAGCTTGCTTGAGGTTATCACTAAGGTAGAGTATTATTATAGAGCTTGCCTGAGATTATCACTAAGGAAGAGTATTATTATTGAGCTTGCTTGAGGTTATCACTAAGGTAGAGTATTATTATAGAGCTTGCTTGAGTTTATCACTAAGGAAGAGTATTATTATTGAGCTTGTCTGAGGTTATCACTAAGGTAGAGTATTATTATAGAGCTTACTTGAGGTTATCACTAAGGTAAAGTATTATATCATTATAGAGCTTGTTTAAGGTTATCACTAAGGAAGAGTATTATTATTGAGCTTGCTTGAGGTTATCACTAAAGTAGAGTATAATCATGGTATCATTCATCTTGTAGCAGCATTTGTGTAAATCTTATTTGGTTAATGTGTGTGTGTGGAAATTATTTTCTATAATTCCATGTAATATAAATAATTTGTAAATAAACTTGCCCTGCATAGCCCTGAAGCACCTTCGGGTATTCGGACGGTGGGCTTCTGTGCGAATCAATGTGGAATAGTCTTCTTGTGAGGCGTAGGTCATGGGTTTCCTGCAATAATAAGTATAAGACATGTTTCATGTGTATAAAAATTTAAAATGGTGTTTACTATTACAGTACAGTACAATGTAAATAATTAGTCTGATGAGCATTTGTGGCCATCAGATGTTTCATCTGGTAGAGACAAGTTAATTATTTTTAGTCAGTTGCAATAATTCTGGTAAATTAGCTTATGTGAATAAACTAAAAATAGATCACCATTTTATTATAATTATTAATTATAAGAAGCGACTCTTGAGTTGTTTCAGTAGATCTTAAACTGATGAATTAGTTTAGAGATACGTGTCCAACAGTGATTGGCCGGCGACTTAGGCCTGTGGGAAGCTAGAGCTTCTTATCCTACCATCATAACAAGATGTACTAGAAGAAGTCAGCTTAGACTTGCAGTAATGACATTGCCACACGAGAAATATCAATGCTTGTATACAGTAGATATGATTTGTCACTGGCTGAACATCACTAAGGGCTCATAACTTCTTCCTGCAAAATACACCTAAGTATCAAGCAGTCTGTATGAGAAAGGTAAGGGGTATTGAGAGGAACATCCATTACTAAATTTCAGTTAAATAAAAGTGTTGTCATGTGAAATTTTTATGACAATTTGTGAAATACAAAGCATGTCGAAGTAAAGAAGCATTAAAGAGTGATGGCCAAGACTTGTAAGTGGCCCACCATCATGTGAATGGCCCTCCATCATGTGAATGGCCCTCCATCATGTGAGCAGCCCTCCATCATGTGAGCAACCCTCCATCATGTGAGCAGCCCTCCATCATGTGAGCAGCCCTCCATCATGTGAGTGGCCATCCATCACGTGAGTGACCCTCCATCACGTGAGTGACCCTCCATCACGTGAGTGACCCTCCATCATGTGAGTGGCCCTCCATCATTTGAGTGGCCCTCCATCATTTGAGTGTTCCTCATCATATAAGTGGCCCTCCATCATGAAAGTGACCCTCCATCATGTGAGTGGCCCTCCATCATGAATGTAACCCTCCATCATGTGAGTGACCCTCCATTATGAAAGTGACCCTCCATTGTGTGAGTGACCCTCCATCATGAAAGTGACCCTCCATCATGAAAGTGACCCTCCATCACATAAGTGACCCTCCATCAAGTGAGTGGCCCTCCATATGAGTGGCCCTCCATTATGAGGGGCCCTCTATATGAGTAGCCCTCCATCACATGAGTGGCCCTCCATCATTTGAGTGGCCCTGCATCATGCAAGTGGTACTCCATCGTATGAGTGGCCCTTCATGTAAGTGACCCTCCATCACGCAAGTGGCCCTCCATCATATGAGTGGCCTTCCATCATACGAGTGGTCCTCATCATGTGAGTGACCCTTCATCATGTGAGTGGCCCTCCATCATGAAAGTGACCCTCCATGTGAGTGGTCCTCATCATGTGAGTGGTCCTCCATCATGTGAGTGGCCCTCCATCGTGAGTGGCCCTCTGCCATGAGTGGCCCTCCATCATGTGAGTGACCCCTCTACCATGACTGACCCTCCACCATGATTGTCCCACCATCAAATGATTGAGCCTCCACCAGGAGTGGCCCTCCATCTTGAGTGACCCTCCACCATGATTTGACCTCGATCAAGTGAGTGACCCTCCACCACGAGTGGCCCTCCATCAAGCGAGTGACCCTCCACCATTAGTTGCCCTTCATCATTTGAGTGACCCTCCATGAGTGACCGTCCATCATTAGTGGCCCTCCACTATGAGTCGCCCTCCATCATGTGATTGGCCCTCCATCATATGAATTGACCTCCATCATGTGAGTGGCCATCCATCATGAGGGGCCTTCCATCATATGAATGGCCCTCCATCATGTGAGTGGCCCTCCATGTAAGTGGCCCTCCATCATTTGAGTAACCATCCATCATGCAAGTGACTCTCCATCATGTGAGTGACCCTCCATCATATGAGTGGTCCTCCATCGTGAGTGGCCCTCTATCATGAGTGGCCCTCCATGATATGAATGGTCTGCCATATGAGTGGCCTTCCATCTTGAGTGGCCCTCCATCATGTGAGTGGCTTTTCATCATGTGAGTGGCCCTCCACCATGTGAGTGGCCTTCCATAATGAGTGTTCCTCCATCATGTGAGTGGTCGTCCATCATGTAAGTGGCCCTTCATCATGTAAGTGGCCCTCCATGTGAGTGCCCCCCCCCCATCATTTGAGCAACCATCCATCTTGCAAATGGCCCTTCATCATGTGGGTGGCTGTTCATCATGTGAGTGGCCCTCCATCATGAATGGCCCTCAATCTTGCGAGTGACCCTCCATCATGCAAGTGGCCTCCCACCATGTAAGTGACCCTCCACCATGTGAGTGACTACATCATGAGTAGCCCTGCATCATGAGTCGCACTCCATATTCTGAGTGACCCTCCACCATGAGTCGCCCTCCATCATGTGAGTGACCCTCCATCATGAATGGCCCTCAATCTTGCGAGTGACCCTCCATCATGCAAGTGACCTCCCACCATGTAAGTGACCCTCCACCATGTGAGTGACCCTCCACCATGAGGTGACCCTCCACCATGTGAGTAACCCTCCACCATGAGTGACCCTCCACCATGAGTGGTCGTCCATCAAGTGAGTGACCCTCCACTATGAGTGGCCCTCCCTTATGTGAGTGTCCCTCCATCAAGTGAGTGACCCTCCACCATGAGTGGCCCTCCATCATATTAGTGGCCCTTCATCATGTGAGTGACCCTCCACCATGAGTCAACCTCAAACAAGTGAGTGACTCCACCATGAGTGTCCTTCCATCAAGTGAATGACCCTCCACCATTAGTGGCCCTCCATTATGTTTTTTTTTTTTTTTATACGAGGATTAGCCCACCCGGGCACAGGTCGCTGACCCACATCAGGGCGGGGGGGATATAATAATAATTAATAATAATAATATCTATAATTATTATTACAACAATTAATAAAATTAATAGCAAATTAATACAAATAAAATAATAATAAAATATTAATAACCATAAATTAATACAAAAACAAAAATAAATCAAGAGTGTGAAATTATATACATTATGTATGTTGCGTTGTCCAAGTAAGAGAAACAATTGAGATTCTGCAATTGTGTGTAAATGAGGCAGGAAGCCAGATGAGCAACCTGGGACTTGGTCACAATTTTCGTGATGCCATATGGCAGCAGAGTCTACCATTAGACAACACATTATGCTTCCAATATCTTCCCAGGCTGTAGTACCTCCCTGTTTGATAAATGCTTACTACCCTCCTCGATGAGTGACCATCCATCATGAGTGGCCCCCCATCAAGTGAGTGGCCCTCCACCATGAGTCGCCCTCCAATCATGTGAGTGGCCCTCCATCATGAGTGGTCCCCATTATGTGAGTGGCACTCCATCATGTGAGTGGCCCTGCATCATGTGAGTTTCATGAGTGGCCCTCCAAGTGAATGACCCTTCACCATGAGTGACCCTCCACCATGAGTCGTCCTCTATCATGTGAGTGACCCTCCATCTTGTGAGTGACCCTCCATCATGCGAGTCACCCTCCATCATGTGAGTCACCCTCCATGTGAATAACCCTCCATGTGAGTGGCCCTGCATCATATGAATAACCCTCCATCATGTGATTGGCCCTACATCATGTGAGTGGCCCTCTATCATTGAGTGGCCTTTCATCATGTGAGTAACCCTCCATCATGTGAGTGGCCCTCCATCGTGTGAGTGACCCTCCATCATGAG